ACATATATTTTACCATATAGGGGAAATGCAGGTAATGTCGGCCTAAGTGTCCCTAATTTGGGTCCATACATAAATTCAGCAATCGACTAAATTTTCAATAGCAACCAAAAATATCCATTAGTAACGTCCCAATAACGCGTTCATCTAGATAAAATTGATAAATAGCAGATTTTTAACGATGGGGTCAATCTTAGATCCATAGGCCAACAATGGAGACATTTCCCCTATCTACGCAATTAAAATCTTGGAAATTCACTTTAAATTTAATTTATGCGATATTTTATCGCCTCATATCGCATAATTTAGGGCTCGAGAAATAGCCAATATCGTTCTATTCATTCCAAATAAACAGTTTTATTGCAATCGAATGCTATGTTTAACCTATGAAACCTAACGGCAGCATTCCTAACTATTATCAATTTGCTTCAATGACGGGTCCAGGGAATCAATAAAATGCTATCTTCCGATGCTTACCGACGATAAAAATACTAGTTATCGGAATCATGATCAGTGTACAGTAAGATCATGGATTATCATTTGTGTTACACATCATGATCAGCAACAAAAACGATGATCTACTGATATGATAACAACCACTTTGTAATGTATCTAAAAATCTAGGAACTTGCTGCCTTCGGAAAAGTTGTTCTAGAGGTAAAATACCCTACAATACGGATATTTTTGGAATCGGGATGACACATATATTTTGAAAATCAATATAGGTCGCCATTTTGAAATCCGTCATCTCGGCCGTTGGTTTCGGAAAAAAAAACTGTTAAATACCCTACAATATGAGTATTTCTGGAACTGGAATAATGTGTAGATGTTGAAAATCGATGTCAACCGCCAATTTGGCGGCCTTTGGTTTTAAATAGAACTGACAAATACACTAGTCAACATGACGGCCGACATCAATTTTAGTCATCTACACGTCATTCCGGTTCCAAAAATGCCCACATTGTAGGGAAAAGTTGTTTCTAAAATCAATAACCGCAATCTTGGATTCCCAAATAGCGGCAGATATTAATTTTCTACATCTGCATGCTATCCCTGTTCGGAAAATACCCACATTGCAGGGTAATCTTGCATTTCCAAATGGTGGCGGACATCAATTTTCGACAGTTTTTCTTAAATCGATGGTCACCATCTTGGATTTCATAATGGCGGCAAACATCGATTTTCGATCTCTTTACGTCATCCTCATTCCGAAAATTCACATATTATAGGGTATTTGATTAGCCTTGTTTTAAATGGGGAATTTTCAGTGACGAGAGCTGATGATGATGATCTGAGATTATCGCTATTTCATATTATCATGATCTGGTACACCAATGATAATTGCATTATCGTTTCCAGAACTGTCCATTGTGATTTATGGATTTGTACTAATCATGCGTGTAACCAAAATGAGAATGCCATTATCTTTATCTGAATCGTTGATTTTGATTCCCTAGTCTTAGAAGAATGTGGACCAAATTATCTGTTTCTCGAAAATATCTGAGCGATTCCAGGTGAATTCGCAGTCCATTAATTTTCGTATTATTTTTTGTCATTTAGCATGTTCGGATCACTATTTTAAATCAAGCTTTAATTTTGAAAAGGGCATATAGAAAACGATAAGCTTATCTTCAGAAAACTGTTACTCGAAAAATGTTTGCGGAGCTTTGCGGAGCCGATATTCATCGTTTGGGTTACAAAATTACTTAAAACTAACGTTAGTAAAGCGGGGGCCGATAACTCGCGGCTATCTCGAGGTTAGGGGTAACAAATTGTAACAAACCGATGGCAGGGTAGGGATTGAGAGCACAAGGTTTTTTTCTAGCAATGTGCTCTTGATCTAGAACTACGCAACATACTGGAGAAAAAGACGAACATGGAGTTACACCGATGGGGACCTAACAACTTGAGATCGATCCGTTTAAAAACACATAAATTAAATTAAAATAATCGAGATCTCGGCTCGCCAAGATGTCTCTAACGGGCTGCAAAGGTTGTTTTCCTCGGGCCCTGAGGCTAAAAATTCTCTTGTTTTTGAGAAAAATGATTTTTAAGTTTTTATTTTAAATTTAAAGAAGTAGTGATTTTTTTGTAGAGTGATATTATTTTTAAGTAGTTCCAGATGTTCCCTAAAACATTTCTGAAGGTACCCAACCGATTGGACAAACATTTTTCGAGTAACAGTTTCTGAAGATAAGCTTAACATTTTTCTATATGCCCTTTTCAAAATTAAGGCATTTTTGGTCACGAGGAACGTTTCTAAAAAATTTCAGCCATAAAAAGAAATACGAAAATTAATGGATTTGAGAATTTGTCTGGAATCGGTCTACTGCAAAACGGATTTATCCACCACTGGTCAGACGATATACAGTGTATCTTAAAATTTAGCGTACAGCTGTCGTTTAATTTTAGAAAAACGGCTCTAAAAGCACAAGGTGTAAAGATACGTCTCTACATTTTTGGCTGCTAAGTCATCATACATTTATCAATTATTGGTAAAGTATTGGTTATTTTCGGTTGAGTTTATAAAAGTTAGAGCTATTTAAGAAAAAGCTTTTTTCTTGATATTCTTTATTTTCATGAAATTAAATGAACCTAACTTTAAGAAATTGTGCTCTTCTTTAATCATATTAAAGATCAATCATTTGCCACTAATTTTACTAAAATTCTTCCACCAGGTAAATAGTTGAAAATCGAACGTCTTACTAACCTAAATCTAACCATAGCGATAAATCAATAAACATCTATTCAACCACAAGCCGAGATTTAAAAAAATATATCTATTCACCATGTTTCAAAAAATTGTCCACTAGGGTGTATGCTCAATTTTGCGATACACTGTATATAGGATTTGATGGTGAACGTAGTACCCAATACGGAAAAATGGACATGCTGGACAATGCGTCAATATACCCTTCTCATTCTTAAAAATGGATTCGACTTTTTGTCCATTCGAACATCTGTCCCTTAGGTCATGTCCTCTCGAGCTACTGTCCTTCCGAACTTTTGTCTTTAGACCTTCTCTCTTTTCAACCTTTTAGCTTTCGACCTTTTGTCAAAGATTCTGTACACACACCGATTATTCGCTACACTGAATTGAGTCCTCGCTACTGAAGGTTGTAGCAGAGCAAATCCACGGCGAATAGCGAAAAATAAACGAATTTATGATTTTACAATCTGACTTCCATGAAGCTTCACATAACTGTTTGCTAGGGACATTGAATTAAGTTTCTGATGGAATTAAGCCTAATTATTCAAAATGGCGTATTCGATATTTTTAATAAATCGTAGCACATAACCGCCCGACATAAAGCTGTAGACAATTGGGTTCTTTAATTTTGAAAAATATATCTGTTTTTATATATCATCTGAAAGAGCTTCGTTTTCTGAGCACAGCTATGTATTTTTTTCGAATCCACACACTTTCATCTCGATTTTTAAATCAAGATTTAAAGCAAAAAAATAACTTCACTGTTTGACACTAAACTGACAAACTGACAGCTCGCTCCCATACAAAGTGACACTAAGGGGCGCTAATAAGGTGATTTTTGCAAATGTAATCGTACTTATTTAAAATAGTTCCAGTGTACCAAAATTGATGAAATTTTGGGTTTGGGTTCCATTTTTAATACAGATTACGAATATGCATTTACCTCAATACCCTTAAAGAACCCAATTGGATATCCTTTTCATAAAAAATACACACTGAAAAAAATATCACAAATTTCTGTCAAAAGCTGTTAAAAACTTCAATAACAAAAAGTAAATTTTAAATATTGATTAAAATCATAAAACATCAAGCTTTAGGAATATTTTTGAATTTTTCCATCATGCCACATGCTGCTCTGCTGAAACAAACTGTGCGGCGAATGTTATCACTACATATTTGGTTGTCGGTAATGTTCATTCCTTATTGCTTTGAATAATTTCAGCATGAACTTTCTATCAGTGTCAATCCTGCATTCAAGTACGCCGATTCACTTTCTTTTCTCAACTACCCCGTAACTCCATCCGAACAAACGAAGAACTGCAATAACTTTTCCTATTGATGTAAACTCATCGATATTGACCGGTTGGATTTACAGTTGTTCCTACTCATTACCAACAATTTACTTGACTTTCACGATTGTCGTTTCCCCCGCAGCCAAACAAAGTTGTAGGTTGCTCCAACATCGCTCCGGTATACCGGCGGTGGTGCCACGAGTGTGAATGAATTGCCGAGCTTGTTTAATTCAATGCGTGAAAAATCACCTCAATAAAATTCAAATTACCTTTTCGCTTTCGTTCGAGCTGCTAGAAGGCGAAAACTATACTCATTACAACCGGGACGTGTGGTCATTTGTCATCTAAGTACTAATAACGCCTCCACACTGCATACAGTTCCCTGCGATGCACGCATGGATATATAGGTTTGTACAATTGCGGTTGTGCTTTTTTTGCATTTTTATTGATTACCTATTAAAGTGCTGCGGTTTGACACTAGCTGTGGGTTCGATTCACAATAGGTTGCTCCAGGGATTAAGCCATTAAGCAACCATTCAAATGAGTTATCTCAGCTTTAATTCTATCTCGACATGTGTCAGAAAATTGAAATTGAAATAATTTGTTATGTTTTCCCCGCATTCAACGGTCTTTCTAGGCCGCTGAAATCTAGGTGTGAAAACATCAGATATGTGATGTTGTGACATTTTTCATTTCCACCCCGGTGCAATAAATTATATCGCGTGTGAACATGCGTTCGGGTGCACTTTGCACAAGATAGTGCGCGGAAGAGAACCGGGAATTAGGCGGAGACCGTCCTAAATGAAGTCCAGCATGCAACCGATAATTTATTCATCGCTGCTCCAAAAGTAGCACACATCGCATGCCGATTGCTATCAACGTTTTTGCCCTGCGAACTGTCCCATTTGATGATTGTAAATACATTTCAGCCCTAGAATCTATCGCAACGAACTCTTGCTTTTAAATCCATTTCGATGTGTTTTCTTTCTCGATGATTCCAGGTGGCGATCGAAATCTAGTCCTTCCGACGTCGGTTTTTCACCGGGCCGTGGACCAGATGAAGCGGACGCCAGATTTCACGTTTGCCGTCGTCCTGAAGCAGGAGCAAGCTAACTCTGGGACCATCGTTTCCTTTTCAAACGGAAACAATAGGTAGGTTTCTCGTTCAATTCGATATCGTTTGATGTTCCATTTCCAACTTTCAGCCCACCCACCCCTCATTTCCTTCTTTCAACAAACCCCTGTTCCCTTTCATTACTGGCATTCGTCCCCCCAGCAACGAAAGACGTTGGTGTCAATAAATTTTCAACTGTCAGCACAAAACGGAAGAAAAGCTTCCCCTCGTTAACGTTTCCCCAGGGGGACTCGGTAATGAAGAATCATTGCAATAAAAACTGCCACCAGCGTCATTAGCTCCTTATTCACTTATTCGTTTGTGATCCCCCATTTCTTTTCCATTTTTAATGTTTTCTTCCCACCATCCAGCGATTGCCAGCAATCATGGCAATAATCGTTGGTCCAAATCCCACAGGACAGGCCAACGATTATTGCAATTATGTGTCCTTTCTCCGTCCCTCCCTCGCTCTACCTTCCAACACTTACTTTGCCTTCACATCGCATCAATCTATCGAAATCTATCTATTTTCTAATCCTAATCGAAACAATGTAATAATTAATATTAATGTTAAGGTATTTAGAATTACAATCAAGTGGAAGACGTGACGAAATACGTTTTCATTACACACACATAACAGCAGCGGGCGTGTCGCAGATGCACACCGAGTCCTTTCCGTATCGACTCGCGGACGACGCCGAGCACAAGGTGGCGCTAACGGTCAGCGGCACCGAGGTGCAGCTGTACATCGACTGCCATCCACTGTATAAACGAGTGACACATTTTTTACCAGATAGAAATTTTAGTGCTTCCAATATGCAATTATTCGTCGGACAAAGAAACTCAAATAGTCATTATTTATTTAAGGTGAGCCCGCAGATCCCGATTAATACTACCTAACTATAAACGATGCACAGTGGTCGAAAAATCATTCTAAATGTCATATGGTAGGTGTTCCAGTAATGGCAGAATTGCACATTTGAACCGGTTAATTTTCTCACATGATAACGGAAATTGATTAAACTGACTTCTTTGCCTAGCCTTTGACCACCTACAGTTGAGGTAGTCCTCCAATGACAGTGGAATCGATTAGAAACTCCACTTTTATAGGAACCAAAGTTAGCCACTACCGCAACTATAGGAACAGGTTGTCTTCCAGATGTTACAATGACAATGAAATATTTTTTCCAGCAAAATTGAGGAGTAGGGTTTTTTTTTCCGAGATAAATACAGCTGAGGTCCCAGAAAGTAAATGTCTCTAATATCACAGCAAAAGTGATGTTTGGTTGATGAGCCTCCGAAAAAAAAATTCATTGAATCTCAGCAAACAAACAAAACTTTCGATGAGATGTCTGAAAAAAATTGCACTAGGGTGGGTCAACTTTATATGGCGGATCATAACATCCGGCTCCCCACATTTGTATTGAGGTCCCAATCAACTGTGCCAAAGTTGAATGAATTCGGTTACGATATGGATTTGCAGGAGAACTTTAAAATATGCATGGGAAAATGTATGCCAAACGGTCCGAAACTGTTCAATGGCTTGTCAAAAATTCAAAAATCGCTCAATTTTTACCAAACTTGAGACTTAGATTGAGAAAACTATACAAAACAACTTCGTCCAAAACTGCAAATCGATTCGACTTCTGTGCAAAAATGTGCATACAAGCTTAAATGCCCCCCAGTTGGTGCGCGGATCATATGGTCATGAATAAAAAAAAATATAACTTTTTGCAGTCTTGAACGAATTTTTTCTGTATGGTTTTTTTCAATCTAAGTCCCATATTTAGTAAAAATTGAGATTTTTTTTTGAATTTTGACAAGCAATTGAACAGTTTTGGACCGTTTCCCATCCAAATTAAAATGCTCTCCTGCAAATCCAGATCGTAACCAAAGCCGTTCAAATTTGGCACAGTTGTTGGGAACCTCAATACGAATCGAAAGAGTTGTGAAGAGTAAGGAGTTGTTAAGTTGACCTGAGCACTGTTGAGCAAGCTCGCAAAAAATGCTGTGCTGGTAAGCTGCTAAGTCTGAATTTCCAATTTGAAGTAATTAATGGAACGCTATAGTTTTTTTTTAATATAGGAATTGCACAAGAAATTTTTTGAAGAAATTTCAAGTAGGTTTCAGATTTATATTGGCGATCTGAGTTCTTTGGATGGCAAATTTCTGGCTCTTTCAAGTTTAAGCAACTTTCAAATTACAGCCCTTAAATCTCTGGGTACCCTGATAATTTCTAGACCTATCTTCCGGGAGGTTCTTGGAACTTCTCTAAAGTGTTCACAATTTTCCTCAAATTTTCTGAAATTCTCTGACGTTTTCTTCGCTTTCCTGAAGCTCTCTGGATATCACCCTGAAGCAGATGAAACCACCTTAAAGTTATCGAAGCTTACCTGATGTGCCCGAAACGATACAAAAGTTTTCTTACTATCACGCAGTCTGTTCATGAAACTTCTTCTAAATCCTTGGTATTTCCTTTCATTCCTCAGCAGTTATTCAAAGTTCCTATATTTTTGTCGAGTGCCCTGAAATTCTTTTATCGTTCCTTGAGTTCTAACTATTATTCTGATGTTACAGGAATTGCCCTGAAACTAACTCTAAACTTCGCGACGTTTTCTTCAGTACCGTGATTGTCTTTTCTTTCTGTGAAGTTTCCAATATATTTCTTGTTCTCTAAACTTCCTCATGTTCTCTAGACTGTCATTAATTTTTTAAGCTTCTTGAAGATTCTTGATATTTTCTTGAATTTAATAGGACTGCACTAAAGTACTCAAAATTGACCTGAAGCTCTAGGAACTTCACTGAAGTTTTCGGAATTTCCCTGAAGTTTTCGGAATTTTCCTGAAGTTCCCATGATTATCTGCATAATCATGAAGCCGCCCTGAATTTTCATACCTACCCGAACCTTAGTAACTTTCGTTATATGCGACAGTTAGAAGATACTGAGAGGTTAGCACATATCATCGGCAAGAGACGTGCGTGTGAGAAAATTTTCCGATTCTTGCCGATGATATGTGCTAACCTCTCAGTATCTTCTAACTGTCGCATATAACAAATAAAAATTGACTTTCAGTCGCTAACCTAAATCGAAAATTAATTTGATGATAAATCATCACTATGGCCCGGTGGTCGGAGGTGAGGCCAGCAGCTCATTGCTCTATTCATACTGCATTGGACATCCCGTATCCAACATGTGTGATCAGTGTTGGAAAAATCATTTTCAAAAAAAGTTCTATCACAGCTCATTGCAGAGATAAATCCCAAAGGAACTTCTCACAAAAAGTTCGCGAACGAGAGATGATAAAAAGTTCATGAAAGCGTAGAGCGAGAGAAATTTTCATTTCGTATCGCGAAAGATCTTTCGTCTCTCCATCTCACATCATTTCACACGTACTCGTGATTCGAACCAACCAAATATCCCCTCACAGAATTCTCACATTACCATAATTTGAAGAGCCCCTTTCTCATTCGAAGCTCATTGTCACTGTCAATTGAGTCACTAATAGCGAATTTGTTTATTATCGGGGTTGGAACCAGTTCCAACCCAGTGCGAAACCGAACTTTTTGTCAGTGCGAACCTCAACCTGAGCTAGGTTTTAAAAACAAACGATCAAACTGACGTTTGCAAGAAAACAAGCAGACCCGATCTTGATACCCGATCCAGGTTGGAACTGAATAATAAACAAATTCGCTATAAGTATCATTTGATATACGACAGTGGAGTATGGAAGAAATCCAGGAAAATTGTCCCGAACAGACAAGTCGACCCGATGTCGGATCAATGTAAGGCTAATTTAAGGTCGATGTCGACCCAATGTCGTGTTAATGTCGGGTCAATTTTGGGTTTATGTCGGGTCAATGTCGGGTCAACATCGGGTTGGGGTTTGATAGAAGTTAGGTTGGTGTCGGGTTGGCTTAGTTTTTTCGCCGGAATGTCGACCAGAGCTCCGTTTGTGTGTAGGTTACACTCAATCGAATGATATATAGCGTTTCTCAAATGAGAATGATCCATGCCTTCGTCAAATGACTAAACAACTGATATCACCCATTCGGAGGAGGTCCCCTTTGATAGCGAATAGCTACTTTTCTCATTTTCATCAAAAATGTTCAAATGATTTTGAGAATTTACAGCACTGGTAATAGCACAGTGAAAAAGTTCACCACCACCTATATTCCCAACCATCCCCCTGCATATAATTATTGCATAAGAGCTTACAGGAACGATATTACGAACACTAGTGATGAGAGGAGCCATGCATTAACTGTATTTCGTGAAAATTAGGATACATTAGGCGCTCCTCCTTCCGCAACCCCCTATCCTGAGGAACGGTTTTAATATAAAAATTGCTAGTCACAAAATCTTACACTACCCTCCCCGTTCCTCGTTAATGTCGCGTTGACACTTGTGCTGATTCATTCATTTTTTTTTGCCAGAAACCAATGCACCAATCAATCAGTTGCACAAAACTGTTCACATCATCCTGATAACGGCTACTTTAAACAACAGGCGCCAGTAGACAGCCAGGTACCAGACTTATCAGTCTTTAGAGATTGTATTGATTTACTCGGGATAGCTTTCTGTCTATAATCTTTCCCTTGTGAAATGTGCAGTGCAATTTTCAAGAACGAATGTGGTGTAAAGAGATAGAGAGAAAAAATGATCTGATATTTTTCGTATCCTCACGTTGGTGATTCGAGTTAAAAAAGTTCGCGATATCTCATTCTCTCATCCCAGAAAGTTCGCTCAGGAAATATTGGAGTGTGAAACTAGTGAGGGAAAGTTCCCAAGAGAAAACGTATCGCAAGCGAAAATGATATTTTGGTGAGAATTCCATCACTGTGTGTGATGTAGAACAGAGACGAGTTGTGTTTGTTCACATCGACCGATACTGAGTGGTTGCGGTACAAGCACATATCGTCGGTAATAGACGATTGTTGTTTATTGAGAACGCTTGCGCAAAAAGACTAAGGGAGGGAAACGGATTCGAAACTCATATGTCATTAGCCAAATACATCCGTAGACCATAGGTCCACCGTTGTATAATTGGCAATGCACCCGTGTTCTGAATGGGAATTGTGGGTTCGAATCCCACCGGTGCCCTTAGATTTTTTCGCAAATTTTCTCACACGCACGTCTCTTGCCGATGATATGTGCTAACCTCTCAGTATCTTCTAACTGTCGCATATAACAAATAAAAATTGACTGTCAGTCGCTAACCTAAATCTTAGTAACTTTCCTTAAGATCTTTAACTCATTTGAAGTTTTGGCAGCTTAAGCTCCTGAAGTTCCGGCAATGTTCTCTGAAGCTCTTGGGTCTTCACTGAAGTTCTCGAAACTGTCCTAACTATCTATTGAAGTTATCGAAACATACCCTAAAGATCTTCATATTTCCATGCTGTTCTGAACGTTCTGGGCAATATTTCTGTTGTTCATGGAACTTACGTAAAGTTTTCGAAATTTTCCAAAAGTTCTTAAAACTTCATTTAACTTCCCGCAATTTTTCCCCATGGGACTCTTAACTTCATTGAAGTTTTTTGGACGTTGTTCTTGGAACACCTGTAAAGTTCCTGCAATTATTATGAAGTTTAACGAACGCACCTGAAGTTCTCAGAATTTTCCGGAAGTTTGTGGAAATTCCCTCAATTTTTCACAATTTTCCGGATGTTCATGAAACTACAACAAAATGCTTGTTGAAGGTCTTGTAAAGTTCATGTAATTTTATTGCAGTTAATGTAACTGTCATGAAGTTCTCTCTGACCGTCATCTATGAACTGAACTGAATTTCTCGGAAGCAACCCTTAATGACCTTTAATATTCCCCATCGTTTCAAATTTTTTAAATATTGTTGAGAGGATTTAATAAGATA